AATGTCTAAGCAATATTCACCTAACTTCACAATCTTTTCCAGCCCATAAATAAAACGATTTAAGCAATGTTTACATACCTTCTCAATAAATATGCAATTTTATTCTCTGCAGCAACGTTCCAATACTTCACTGCCAAATATGTATCAATTATAAGTCAGTACTCAGATTGATAACTTAGTTGTCTTAGATTTATTATATTGCTACTGAAGGAAATCATTAAAATATCTAATATATAAATTTAAGACTGCTAGTTTCAACTAGATTTAAATGACATTTTTTCATTTTTATAATTAAATTCTAGAAATATGTATTGCAAAGACTGAAGAGTATACTAGAACGCTTTCTTTGGTGAAATCTGATTTTCCGGTTATACATTACTGACATTTGGGAGAAAGCAATCACTTAAATGAAAACTGAAAATATAAAGCCTATGTTTAAAACATGGCCTTTATTAATACTGACCGCTGAGCTCCATTTTTTATTGTACATTGAAATACTTCTGCTTTGCAAAGAAAAAGACAAAAAAGTGCATTTTACAAGGGTACTTTTTTGTTTTTAATTCTCTGAGAAGATGGAAGGAATCTGAATCACAAATTCACAAATGGCAAGTGAAATTAAGAAACAATATCAGTAAGCTATGTGCCATCACTAGGGTTAGCACTGACTTTGTTCTTGTAAATCAGACCCTGATATACAATCTAGAGCGTCTAGATTATTATTCTACAGCATATGAAACACAGAAAAGGAGGTTCAAAAAACCTTCTCAATGTATAAACATGATTTTAAAAATTGCTCTTAAAAAAATCACCTTTTTACAGAATGTATATGCAAAACTGCTTTAAATACATGATTTTGGAAGAACTATTTACAAGCTGTATCAGTCTGTGGAACAATTCACAGACAAAGCACACATAACTGCTTTACTTAGCTGTTGCATCTCAACTTTGGGAGCTAGAAATCGATTCGGCAGTATAGCAAACATGAACACTGTGACAAAGCATTGTGAGGGCAACCAAACTTGGATCCTCAAAAAGGTTAAATACTAGGACTGCCAAAGTTTCTGCTAAGGACTCACTTTAACGATCCAGATGCCCATTTACAGTTCTGCTCTGCTCGAAGGACGGACAGACTCCCTTGCACAGGTGGGGGGCTGAACGCACCGCATGGAAAACGGACAGCTGAGAGCTAGTGTCACCCAAAGAGTGAATTAACCTAGAATTGTCTTTTTTTCCATTTTATTAATATTTTTAAAAATACATAAAAATACAACATCCAATGTCTGAATAAATATATTTAACAAGTTGCAAGATAATACCTTATTTTACACAAAAATTTCAGCTTTAGAAATCTTGTTAAATAACTTCATTGTTGTTATATATTTCATTTTCGTATTTTTGTAACAAAATAAAAACTCTGAAATTACATAGAAAAAAGACAAAATATTTTTGTCAAGGGATAAGATAGTCCACTGAAAACTTATTCACAATTCCACTGTACACATTAATAAACATTAAAATATTTGCATAATTGTGTGCTCAAAAGTCCTATAAAAAGTGGAAGACTTATTACAACTGTAGTTTTCAGTCAACTACACTTCCTTTCACAACTTATTTTGTCCCATTTACATCTTTAAACCTGGGCACACTGCTGAACATATACTTTGGCAGTTCTAAATAGCAAGTGCTTCCACTAAAAAAAAAAAAAAAACAACAATAAAAAACACAAAACATAAACCCCCGACTCACCAAGTGTCCAAATACATCTTAGTGATTGCTTGTCTCTGATTTCAATCACGCCTGACCACTTTATCATACAAATTCAAATTTGCTAAGTGCCCTTTTTCTGTATCACACACACACATACTAAAAAAAAAAAAAAAAAAAAAAAAAAAACAAAGAAACAAAGAGGGAAACTTCAGACAAATATGGCAGGCTGCCTAACCTTCAACTGCTTATCAGCTTGGTTTTGCAACAAGGAAAAAGAAGGGAGGAGGGGACAGCCCCGGTCGGTCCGAGGCGGCGTTCGGGAGCTACCTAGCAACGTGAGACCAGTTGAGTGCTTTCTGTGGCTGTCCGCTGGGATTTGGAAGTCCGGTCCGTGGCAGCACATCGCTGGGAGGCAGAGCAAACGCTCATCACCTGCATTCCACGGCAAGGACATTCTGCGGGGGCGAGGACGAGGACGGACTCATTCCCGTGTCCGACGAGGCTGACGACATGGAGGCTCCCACGTGAGACACTGCGGAAGCAAGGGAGCTGGGTGAGCTTAAAAACACGGGCGCAGCGCAGAGGGCAAAGGGTAGATTCCTCCCAGCGCTCACTTCCGTCATGGGCCCTTTCAACTTTGTATGAAGGAAGATAAACGGGCAGCAGCAAGTATTCTCTCGGCTCAGGGGAGGACAACCAGCCTTCGATCTGTTGAATAACTCAAGGGTTCAAAACAGACACCACAGGGCTTGGCAGAGCAGCCCCAGGCCGGAACATGGGGCCACCCCCAGCAGGAGACAACTGAGACAGGCATGCCGCTGCGTGTAGACCAAACAAGGCAAACTCCTCTGCCCCTACTTAAAATATCCCAGAAGAACCTGGCTGGGTCCCAATAAAATATAAAGTTAAATGGGAAATGAATTCTCATTTGAGTAGAGAATTTTTGCTTTATCTTAGGATTGTAACACTAAGAGAATTCGTACAACCCAGAGAATTTCCAGTAATTGTCAAGTATCAAAAGCATCCCGCTGGAAGTGTGGGTGCGCTCAGATGGCCTTACCACAGTGCTTGAGGACATCACACGGGTCAAGGTGACTACCCGCGCATGAGACACCCCGCCACGTTATAGCTTTTTTCTTTTATCTTGTTGGCCTTTAGTATTTTCTTTGAAGAAAATTCCTTACACCTGCCAATCTTGGCACAGTCATTGCTGTTTGACTGAGTTTCAATTTTTTGGTACCAGGAATCAAACAGGACTTCCTACTTGCCAGGTAGGGACGAGAGCACTAAGCTATTTCTCCGCCCCTGTTTTTAATTTTATTTATTGATTCAAGTATATTTCTGTATATCTGTGGCTAGCAGTAGGACAAGTGCCTCATTACAACCAATGTTTCCATGTGTGTAGAAATTACTCAGTGAAGGGGACAACACACTTGGGCCACCCTCCAGTCCCTCTCTCGGACAGCTTTCTTTCCCCCAATAAATATATTCTCATAACCTAAAAAAAAGAAAGAAAGAAATTACTCAAGTGTCTCAACCTAATAACTCACTACAAAAAGCAAACAAGGAAACAAAACCAGAGTAGAAGGCTCTCTGAAGAAATTTATTTGTTCTTTTTGTTTTTTAGGAGTAAAGATTGCCTACTGGTTAGGCTTTAAAAGAAAAAAAGACTCCTAGGAAGATAGCAGAGTGGTAAGAGGCAACAAAAAAATCTCTCTAAGGTTTGGAATCCAGGTTCTAAACTTGGGGAAGAAAGAAAAGCAAGAGTGAGCTGGATCCCCAGGCCCCAAGAAGGATCAGAAGAGAAGACAGGAGCCAAGTGAGAAAGTGCCCAGACAGACCTCAACACAGAAAAAGGAAGGGGCAGTCCACACTTTCTCCCCGCTTCCTGGCCCCCCGGCATGAGAAGGAAGATCGAATCTAGAGAACGAAAGCGGCTACTCCAGGGAGAGAGGCACTGGTGGGATGGCACAGAGGGTGCTGTGTGCTACGATCGCTGGTGAGGGACTCCGAGTGACTGCGGTATCCTTGGTGACAGACAGTGCTTCTCTGGACACCATTTTAGCATGGGGCCAAGTGAACACTAGACTCAGAGCAGCTGTGGGGTGAGCTCATCTCAGGACTCTCAGTGTCAAAGCGCCACAGTGACTGGGTGAGCGACAAGCACCACAGACATCTGGGGTCCAGGTGTCATGGTCGGCTGGCAGGAGACACCAGAGTATTATAAACGAGATGACCAAGGGTCCTACCCCACCGCCACAGGCCAGGAGCCACTTGGCGGATTTTAAAGTACCAGAGCCAGCACCCGGCCCTAATCCTACTGCCAGCTTGTTGGGGTTCTCAGCAGGGATCTAGGCTCTCGCTGCCTCCTTAGCCTAACGCAAGACAACAGTCATGTCCTGGACTGCACACTTCCTGCGTCGTCATTCAGCCTTGCTTGTAATCTCTCTTACTTCTCTTCTTTTCCTCTGATCCTTTTAAAATGTTTTCTCCTTAAGGTAGAATAGCTCTATTGAGTGGACATTTACTGTATAAAATTTTTTTACTCATCTTAAGATTTTGTTGGGCCGGCCAAATAGTTCAGTGGATTAAAGCGCCTGCTTAGGCAGACACAGGGGCCAGGAGTTTGATCCCTGGGCCTGCTGAGTCAGCCCTGCCCCTGGGGTATGCTGAGATGGTGATTGAGACTGGGCATGGTGGCACATGCCTGTAATCCCAGCACTTGGGAAGCTGTACACAGGAGGATCACTATGAGTCCAATTTATGCAGTGAGACCTTGTACATCCTGTCCTAAATACAAAAAAAAAAAAA